AGTTGCAAAAAATAGTAGAAGTTCTTTAAATATCTTTCTCTTATGTTAAAATCTTACATAATCACAGGACTTTTATACAGCTAAGAAGTTAGCCTTGGTACAGTAATGTTAACTAAAATAGAACATTTAATTTTAACCAGCTATTTTTAGTAAAACTCTTAAAGATCTATCCTATTCTTGAGTCCTATTCTAGTTGTAATAATTTTAGTTAATATAAATGATTAAAAATATTAACAAACGTTTACAGACTGATGATGTAACTTCTTGGTGTACCTATACATGGCAAAGGGCTGATTTTACTTTATAATTTCATTTTCTGCCAGAAATTTTAATTCTTATTAAGTATAAATTGTTCAGTTTTCTTTAGACAGTTCTTCAAGCTCCAAAAATGAAGAGAACCTTAAAGCATTCTTGCACATATTTTAAGGGGCCTTAAAGCTATTGTTTAACCCATCCCCCACATTTAAGAAAACAACAACATTCATTTCTAAGCCTGTAAATGGAGGCCTTGAATACACAAACAACATGTAAACTTTGAAAAATTCATTCATGAGATCTGGTATCCATTTTAGGGCTGTTTGAATGTTAAAAGATTATTTTTTGTTGTTGTTTTATTGCAAATTAAAGTCCAGCTTGTTTTAGTGTTGTTTTGATAGATTTTTGTTTTTCCTTTCCTTGTTTGTTTGATAGGTGAGAAGTTGTTTCTCTTCCAGCTCCTTCCCTACATTCTTAAAATTTAAATTCATCCGGTGTTGCCTGGCTTGCCTTTTCTAAATTGATTATAGATGCCTATGGCTTTGTGCATGTGGCATTGTCCCTAAAACACAAGGCTTGAAAAGTTTTTTTTTTTTCTGCAGAGCATTGCTTAATTTTAAGTTTTCATGGTGTTTGTTGATGTAGTTTCTCTAAGAAAGTTTTCTAAAGATTTGTCTTTTCACTAAATGCTTAATTAATGACTTTTTTTAATTCTCCAGTTTAGTAGGACCTCTTTAATGTACAATAAAATGAAATAAAACAACAGTTAAACGTTTTTATGTTGCTTAAAGCTGCATGTTAAAATAGTTTGTTATTCCTTTTCCACTAAGCAGATATCCTGTTTAGATTGTTAAATTATTTTTTAAAGAGATTTTGCCAATTAAAGTAATATTAGTGATTCAGCTTAGAAAAGACAAACCTCCCTAAATGTACTTCACTTCTCCAACAGAGATATTAAGTGAATGTATTAGTTTTATTTATTTATATTAATTTGTTATTACCTGTGTCCTTTTCAGACTGCATGTAATCTTAACTGGGTGTTTTGACCATCGGTATTTCTGTTTTTTAGTAAAGTACTTAGCATATTAGTTGGTTCTTTAAAATATCTTACATGCAGCAATAGTGGGCTACTCACTATTCAAAGAATTTAAATGARTATGAACATAGTCATAATAAGGTAGTTTCTGTTGATATATTTCAATTGGGGAATATAACAATTATGAGATAGTTTCTATTGTTATATTACAGTTGGGGAAACTGATTTATTGCTCTGGTTCAGSAACTTAGAGTTTAAACTAGTGAGTTGGGGAGTAAAGATTTCAGACTTAGGCAGCCTGACTGTAYTCTGTGCTCTTAACCACTATTGTGTGCTGCTTTTATTTACCCATTGAATGCATAAGCTTTGCAAAACATTGACATATAGCATGGAAAATTATTAACAGTATGTTGATAACTAGGAACAAATTTTTTGTTAGATGTGTTTGGTTAGAAAATAAATTTATAAAATAAGTTACACAGTCCTTTTGCCTGGATGGTTTGGTTTTAATAGCCTATTAAAAACTTATCACTTGTTATTTGACAACTTTTAGAATAGTCTCAGAATCCTCAATGCAAAATACCATAAAAGTTTCCATTGCCATTTTGTTAATGACAATACATCTTTTAAATGAGAATTAATATTTCTGCATTAATGAAATGGCATAACTACTGAAGTATAATCAGGTTCTTTGTTTAATTTGGAATGTCTGGAACATCTAACTAAGAATATCGGAAGATAGGATTGTAAACATGGGGACTAAATAGTAAAGGATCATTTGCATTTTGACTTCATCATCAGGCCAAGATTATCAGAATACCATTTCTAGACAAACTCTGTCACTATCAGTAGAAACTTATTGGAAATGCAAATTATCAGGTCCAAACCTAGACCTACTACATCAGAAACTGGAAATAGGGTCCAGGATGTGCAGAATAATTTCTGGATTCTGATAAACAGTAAAATTTTCAAAATTTTAAAGCCACTAAGAACATGGTAATCTCAGTAGGCTTATGTTTTTTTAATGAACTTTGTTTTAAGAAAATTTGGGATTTGTAGAACAAAGGTGACGATATTACAGAGTTTCTATGTACACAACTAATTTCACCCTTCATTGACATATTAGTGTAATAAAACCCATTACAATTAATTGAACCAGTATTGATTCATTATAAACTATAGTCCATGTTTTATTCAGATTTTCATAGTTTTTGCCCATTGTCTTTTTTCTTCAACTGTTTTGTCTAGGAGACCACATTATATTTAGTCATTATTCCTCCTGTGTTTCCCCTTGTTTTTTAGTTTCTTAAACTCAAACACTGACAGTTGGTGTGGAGTATGCTATAGAATGTCCCTCAATTGGGATTTGTGTAGCTGCTTTTTTAAAGATTGCACTTATTTATATGTTTGGGAAAGAAAAAACACAAAATTAAAATGCCATTCTCATCTTGTGATATCAAGGGTATACAAATACTGTCAAAGTCATTTGAGCAACTGACTTGCTCTATGAAGATCTCTTTTATTCACCCTGTTGATCTTCCTCCTACTGTATAGTTCATATTCATGAGGGTGTGGGGAGTTATTTTCTTCCATTTCCTTTGGGACAGAATATAGAAGCCTCTGCACAGATCTTTCTTTTTCCATTAGTCATTCATTTGTATTAGTATTGACTCATAGATATTTTATATTTGTGGTTAAAATTTAATGCTACTTTTTTTTGCTTAATTTATTCCAAGTTATTAACAGTTTTTTCAGTTGGCTCCTATTTTAAATTTTTGGCATAGTTGTTTCACTGTTGGGTTTTATGTGTGTTTATGATTTTTCTTTTAGTGTTTGTGTGTGTTTGAACACTTATTTTGTGGCATTTCAAGATGTTCTGAGCTCATTTTGTGTATTTACTGTCCAAATTGAAGAGTCAGCCATTTCTTTATTGGAGAATAGTTTAAAAACCAGCATCTAAGTACTAGGCATGTTTATTGCAATTGGAATATTTTTGCCCTTAGGCAAGGAAACCTGTTTTTACTAACTTGCGTGTTTCTAATCATCTGTATCTTTGTTAAGCTAACCATGAACTCATGTCTCTTAATTCATTACTACATATCATTCCAACCTTCTTCCCTTGCTTATCTGTAACTTCCCATGGGTTCCAAATATACTATATCCCTTTGCTTAATTCTAATGTAACATATTGCAGTGTTGGTATTGTTAACCCAATTGCCAATGGGAAACAACTTTATCAACTACAGTGTGTGCATGTAATCTTTAGTTTTAAAACATGTCTAGATACCTGCATATTCAAAAAGTTGAGCACTTCTTCCTTTCATCTCTTTGTTATATTTGTAATACAGTGTGTATTTTATAGAAAGATCATTTTGATAAAAAGGAGCATTTAGAAATGGTATAAAGATCAGTTAGGATCAGGGCATAAAATACAGCAGGAACCAGCAGTAAGAGGAGATATATGAGAGACTCGGTGTCTTGAAATGGAAGGAATTTGGTACTAGAGAGAAACTTGAAGATAACTCCTAGGTATGAGAATAGAACAAAACAGAAAATCTAGACAAGATTTTGGAGGAAGTGATTTTGTCAATAGGACTGTAAAGTCAAATCTTTACAAGTCAACATAAGCTATCTGGGATGACAACATTAAGGTCTGAAGCTTGCAGTGAGGGATCTGGCTCTCAGAATTTGGAAATCACAACTAAATAGGCATAATGTAAATGCATCACTTAGCTTTTGGGAATGCAAAGTTGATGCATTGTGAACTTTGAGGGTATGTTATTCTCATTCAAAAAAAACTGATAATTCTGTTTTTGAGTATTATGTAGTACACAAGTGTGGAAATAAGTAAATCCAATATAGAATCATATAGGTGTATGCTAAATATTGATAGTATGCTACCCAAACTATCTGAAATGGGTCCTCCATATGAAAGAACTTTTTGTTATCAGAAGAATGGGAAAGGAAGGCTGAGTGAACAGAAGCAACAAAAGTCCATTACAATAGACCTTGATCTTGTGTGTAGCAATGATAAAGCAACTTAGCCACTTAGAGGAAAGTGTCAAGTTTTATGTGTCAAGAAAAGCCACATTTAAAAAATGTTCATTACTTTAGTCTTATTATAATTAATGAGACCATTATAATTACAGTTCTTTGTAA